CACACACACACACACACACACACACACACACACACACACACACACACACCCTGATAAAGTGAAAGCTTCCCCATTAACCCTTTTTGCACTTTGCTGAGTTTGGACTGTGAAACCAGACTAACCAACTCTACTTGCCATTTATGGTCATTTTCACTTGCCAGTTCTGACACACTAGCACAATGCTCAGTGTTTGTATTTCCAGTAGAGCTGGTTAAAAAATGGGTGGGAAATTCTGAGATCTCAAAATCTGATTTTGTACCATATCGGGGTATAAAGTCAAGTACTGCATTTTTTGTTTTGCAAAGTGAAATATTTCAAAAATATTTTGTTGCAGTTGTATCGCTGTGATATTATGTGATCTATAATATAAAAGTCAAAATGTTTAGACTTTTGTATTATAACTTATAGTACATAATATAAAAGTCAAAACAATAAAGCTGAAATGAAATGTTTTGGTTGCATCAAAACACCATTTTCTGATAGAAAATTGTTCCGTTGGAAAATTTTCTACTACCTGCAGTTTCCAGCACTGCAAGGGAAGACTCTTTAAATTGGAAAAAAAAGAACTAATTTTAAAAAAGTGAGACAGCCTCAACTTAGACTGTTTGCTCTTGGAGGCCTTTTTGTTCTGTGTTGGTACAGCGCGTAGCACAGTGGAGTCTTGGCCCACAACTGGGGCTCTTGGGTGCTATAGTAATACAAATAATTAATAATAAGTAATAATCTTCAAAAATATGCATCTTTGGATCCTGATTTGGAAGTTTCAAAGCCCAAAGTTCAGGGGTGCACAGATTTGGGGGTTTTGACTGGGACGCATCTCTAGTTTTCATGATCCATTTGACAGTATAATTCATAAAACCACATTCACATTATGGTAGACCTAGTAAAAACTGTTATAGAATCAAAATACTGGGAACTAAGGGGGAGCTTTTTAGTAACCTAACTCCCAGATTAGGCGTCTAACCGCCACTTGTGCGTTTTGTAAATCAACCCCTACCCCTACAGGATAATGTCCCTAAACTAATAACAGGTAAGGTCAGACTGGCACTACCATTCAGTCAAATATCCGGAAAGATGTTCAGTAATTGAATCAGTGTTGGGATGGGCATGCATTTTTCAATTTGCGTATAATAACAAAAGATACTGGAATGGCTGTTGGAAAAGCACATGAACTCTGGTACCAGGCCAGTGAGCGACCAAGGCATTGACCTGAGTATGAAGAACTGTCAGACTCTAGTCCCTGCTACACACTGGAACCGGATTCGAGGACAATACAATGAGGTTATAACTGAGTTTTAGATAGGTTGCCTGTATCCGTAGTATAGACAGGGACTGTAAGTGGCATTACCAAAATCAGCAGTGCTGCCTGTTCATTCCAAAAGGCAAACAGCCCATGTTTTGCTCAGCACTGGCTTGGGGAAGGCTGGGTCTAGAAGGAGCACCTGGGCACAAACTGCATTTTAAAACTGGGTGTGTAAATAACTGCACCATGTCCTGTTGTGCTTGCAACCTGCCACCTTAATACACATTCTCTCTCTCTCTCTCTCCCCCCTCCCCCCCCACATACTTCATACATTAACATTTGGCATCCTTGGGGGACAGAGAAGAACTCAATGAAAGTGCTTGTAAAATAGTTTCCACCCAGCTTTTAAATTGGTTTCACAATCAGAATAATACCCTTGCTCTATAAAGTTGTAGTTGTATTGTTAATTATTTGTATTATAGTAACGCCTACAGGCCCCAACCAAGATCAGAATCCCATTGTGCAAAGCACTCCCTGCCTGAATTGCTTACAGTCTGAACAGGCAAGACAGAGAAAAAGTGGGGAGGGGAAACTGAGGCACAGAATGTTTAAATGACTTGCCCAAAGTCAGTGGTTCTTGTTATGAGTTAATCACTATTCCCAAGATACAAGATTTATACAGTGTGACTTCAGAGTACAGATTGGGGCATGTGTCAACCTGTCACTCAAAAAAAACAGTCATTTAATAACATCAACTCCAGTCTGATATTTCGAGGCTTCAGCTTCACACCCTGCACTTTCACTTTCAGTGGATGGTGGTTTTTTATTTATTTTTACCAGACTGATTAAGACAAATTTTACTTTTAAAAAAAAAAAGAAAGGAAAAAAAAGCCTGAGCATGAAATAAAATGTGGGTTGGAAACAATACAAATGGCTCTGAACACTTGGTGAAAATGTACTTGAAAGTCCTTTGAGGTTTTTTGCCTGTGCTTTCCCTGGCTTAATCGTAAATCAAGGACAGACCTCTGTGGCAAAGATGGGCCCACCTGGGCCCCCTAGGTCCTGATTCACAAGGTATCAACCACGTACCTAACTTTAAGCTTGTGAATAGACCCATTGAATTTATTGGGACTGCTCTGGTGCTGAAATGGAGCCATGAACTACAGCAGTAAGAAAGTATGTCCCTGTCTCTGATCCCTCTTGTCATCCTCCATTTACAGGCCTTGATCCACACCACTTGAGACAACCTTTCACACCAAGCCCATAAAGTATTGGGACTGATTCTAACACAAAGGGGTTTAGATAAGAGCCAAACATCTGACACTTGTTAGAATAGAATATCAGGGTTGGAAGGGACCTCAGGAGGTCATCTAGTCCAACCCCCTGCTCAAAGCAGGGCCAGTCCCCAGACAGATTTTTGCCCCAAATGGCCCCCTCAAGGATTGAACTCACAACCCTGGCTTTAGCAGGCCAATGCTCAAACCACTGAGCTATCCTCCCTCCCTCTTACATTGAAGTTGTGGTTATTTATCTGTATTTTAACCTTGGTGGCTCAGCCACAGCACTATCACAGTATGGAGGCCCATACAAAGACAGGGACAGATCCTTAGGTGGTGTAAATTAGCATTGTTCCATTGACGTCAATGGTGCTATGCTGATTTGCACCAGCTGAGCATCCGGTCCCTACAATAAATGACAGTCCCTACCCCAAAGAAGTTTGAGTATGATGTTGATTTCCATGCCCACCAGTACGCTAGACACTCGCAATACAGATAGGGCATGAACCATGCTCCAAGGAGCTTAAAAACAAAGGCCCCGGTCTTGCATGGTGACCTGAGCAGCACCCGAGCCTCACTGAACTGCGGGCACAGCAGTCAATCTGCACTTGTCACTGCAGGATCAGGGCCCAACTTCAGACATGGCATGACAAGCGAGGTAAATGCGAGGGAAGGAAGGAATCCAACATCTTGCAGCAAAAGCTAGTGTGTGACGTGAGGGAGACTGGTTTGAATGTGAGGTCAGACTAAAGACCAGGCTAGTGCTCTGGAGGTACCTTGGAGGGCTTGAGACCTAGGAGAGATGTATATGAGGAGAGACTAATGGCTTTGCAGACCTGCTCAGGCAAAGTGTTCCATTCCTAGGGGAAGGCATGGGAGAAAGCCTAGAGCTGCAGACCTGCAGGTCCTCAAGGCCAGTAGCCCCTATGGGAGTGCTGTGAACTTGATGCCTTGGAGAAAGGGGTGCCAGTGGAGGGACTCGGGCCCTGATTCAGCAAAGCATGTGCTTGGCTTCAAGCGCATGAGTAGTCCATGGACTTCAGTGGGACTACTCAAATGTGGATGGTTAAGCACATGCCTAAGATCTTTGCCTCCAAAGGGCTGATGTGATCTGATTGATGGGGAAGGAAGGTGACCTTAGTGATTGTATTTTGAACTACTTCTTTCTGATCCTATAGGGTGATCTCGTGGGTATGGCACAGTAAGAGGGCAGGGTGTGTGGGAGGCATGCGCTGCGCTGCACTGCCTGGGCTGTATCCCTTATTCTGGATAACTATAAAACTTCATTCTCCATCAATCCAGCATGGAACTCACTGCTAAGGCCTTATCTACACACACAAGTTATGCTACTTCGTACCGATATATTTTAAGTGGTACAACAACCCTAGTGTGGGTGAAATTATAGTGATATAAAATATATACTGGTACAAAATCTGAGTGTAGACCAGGCCTAATAAAGCAAACAAACCTGTGAAATTTATTCCAAACAGCCAGCAGGTCTTGCCACTTTCCAAGCTGAGTTACACTGACTCAGAACTTTATTTGTGTGTTCATCAATTATCTTACTTATTTTTTAAATATACAACTGCTGTTATTACTTAATGTTTTAAAGCCAAAGCTAATGTTCATCTGCATAAAAATTAGAACAATTCCCTCAGGACAGCCATGTTAGAATTACTCCAGAGCCACCAGCATACTGCCATAGAACTATGATGGCCTCCAGTAGCTCAGAATCACATGCACCAAAACATCTCCTTTGTGTGTGTTTTCTTTAGACAAGGATCCCACTAAAGTCTGCACTGGAAAAGGAACCGTGACCCTACGGGCATCTCTAGCCTCTGAGGAAAGGCCAAGTATCAGTCCCCCATGTTCTCAGGATGTCCAGCGGTCAGAAAGTAAGTCTAGTATGGATAAACATAAAATACAACAATTGTAACTGACCCCACATGGTGCTTGAGTCCAGGCCTTCAGTGCTAAAAGCATGATCCTCTCCCACTAGCGCTAAAGACCTGAGCAAAAGCAGATTCATAAATCTCTTACATGAGGCAAGCCGCTCGAGGAAGACAAAGCCCCAGAACTTCTGAGTGTGAGTTTCACAACCACTTATACACCACTGGGGAAAAGGCATATTTGTTGCTTCATGTTGCTGGCAGGAGTGCCAAAAAAATCAGCCTTTCTTCCCAAGTAGGCCTTTGTGTCCCTCCTTTCATCCCGGGCCGCTGGGGGGAATGGGAAGTGTCCTTGTGTAGTTGCTGCAGCAATGGCATTTATTTTTTTGCAGTAGTCAAGGGCACTGGGATGGCATCCCAAGTTGACAGTGTTGCCATAGATTTCTGCGGTCTTTAAATAGCAGATGTGTAATTACTTAATTACAGGAGACAAGCAAAGCATCACTAACCCTGCCTGCACCTTGGATTTTGCATATAGAATGAATTCCCAAAGGGGAGATGCTATTAAAAGTTAGGGTTGTTCAGCTTCTCCCCTGAAAGTGAAGCACATGTAATTACAGGACCTGTTGTTAGGAAAGGGTGACTCTATTCTTTCCAGCCCTAATGCACTGTTTTCTACCTCCCCCTTCTCCTCCCCTCCTGCTCCACCCATGACCTCTCCTCTTTTCATTCTCTCCATTCTCTGCTTCCTCACCCCCACCCCCTTCACTTACCCTTCCTGCTGGCAGCTTCATAAATTTCCAGCAGCATGAATGGCAATGAGCCCATTACTATGGAAATAAGCTCATTAATACTTCTTTTGCTGACTCCCTCAATCACTTTATGAAATGCATGTTGGAGCTGGAAGAGCTCTTTGCACAGAACGTGAGCGGCCAAAATGGCTAATGTCGGAAGAGGGGGAGGAACTCAGCGGGCGATGGGTAGATAGTCTCAGTGCCTCTAGCCACAGGGACTGGGCTGTAAAATGGCATCATGTTTTGTACCTCCACCCGTACTTGCAAAATAGACATCTTATTTGTCAATGGGTCTCTGCACCAGGTATTCTCATGTGGCAGTGTTACAAAGGACAGCTATGGTTATCCAGTCAACATCATGGCTTGACACTGAGACCCTGCATTTGCAACTGTGTGTGGGGCATTTGGACTCCAAACTGCAGCACGAGAGCAGATAGCTCAGCTGAATGTCAATGACCAATTGTTTTATCATTGCTCTGAATGAATCGCCTTGTGTTTACAAAGGTCAGAAACTGTGAGGGCATCATGTTTAGGGCCAGTTTCTATGGCAATTTGGCATCCCTGTCAGAAAGCATTGTGTGTGTGAAATGAAGTAGCCTGAATGTTGAATTCAGTGGGTACATGTTTGCTGTAAATGTAACAGTTTATTTTTTTCCCTTATTTTTCCATTCTTCCTTCCCTCCTCTCTGCAGCACACATAGCTCTGGATACAGGAAAACCAGAAACAGGTACACATGCTTGTTGATTTGTTTTGTTGTTTCCCCGGATGTATTTCTTGTTGCCCAGCAAAAAGCAACAGCTCCCCTCTCCTCATTCCCCATCTAGCTAGAGTGAATTCACTCAGACCTGAAGTTCTCCTTCCCCTTTTAGATGATTGGAGGTTATCCTCTAATGGAGATATCCAGCCATCTTCTCTGGCTGCCAAGGGCTATAGAAGTGTGCGTCCCAACCTCTCCTCAGAGGGCAAACCACAGGTAAGCATCTTTCCAGAGGATCTGAGGCTTTTCTTGAGGGGTCAAGCACAGGATTCAGAGTCAGGAGACCTGTGTTCAATTCGCAGGCTTGGGTAAGTCTATGTGCCTTCATTTTTCCTATCTGCAAAATGGAGAGAATGCATCTTTCCCGGGAGTGCTGTGAAGCTTAATTCATGAATATGTGTTAAAGCATGCTGAGCTCCTTGGTGGCCATAGCGGGGCAAAGTACCGTTCAACATTGTTTGTGTGGGAAGGCTTAGCCAAGAGGTAGTGATCCATTATTGTATGGCTTTTATGTATGCGCTCTGACCTTCCAACTGCAACTGGCTGAATGGAGAATTAAACTTCCTAAACCCACAGAGTGGCCTTAAAAAATGACTGGAGAAGGCCTTGTCACTTTAATGCTAGAAATGATATAACCTTTTGTCAGCCCATAGTGGAAAGGTTATTTTCCTCCCAAGTCTAATCTGAAGTGTTGGGATTGGTCTGCCAAGCAAAGAGAAATGCTAACTTATGGATAGGTTACCAGTGTGCATGGATGCAATTTTCAGGTTGCATTCAATGGGATGGGAAAACCTGAGCAACCCTTCTTTATAAACTGCCTTCTTGAGGAATGGCATCTGTTTCTGCTCCGTTAAATGTGAAATGGAGCCCCATTAAAATCTTATCCCTAGTACAGGGCGATTGCTTTAATCGTGGCGAGCTCTTGGCAAAGCCACGGATCAGACACTGTGTCTGAAATGTTAAGTGAAAGATGAAGAGGGCACCAGTCGGCCGAGGGCATAAGAAGTAATGAAGCACTAAAGGAGAGAGCTGCTTCCTGCATGAGACATGCAGCTGTTTCGCAGTCAGTTATTGGGCATATAAGTGAACAGAGATAGCTCAGTTTCAGTTTCACAGAGCGCTGTTTATAGAAGAGTCCTGAAGGCACTTAAACTAATTTCAAATGAAACAGGGCCATATTCTGCTCTCAGCCACATGGGTGTAAATGTGGAGTACCATGGTCACTGTTAACAAGCAATTTGCCACTCTGTAGCATCTGGAATGCGGCAGTATTTTTCCAGTCGCCCAGCTGTATCTGCAGTATCCTGGTGTGATAACCAGGGTGGCTGCTGGCTGGCTCTCCATGGCAACTCCTGATTTATTCAGTGAGCTGTACACCAAGGATAAAAAAGGGCCTATCCAAAGCTCTGGGAGCCCCTGCCAGAAATTACAAAAACAATAAAATTAAACCACCCCCAAAAGACCAAATTCCCCTCCCCCAGTCTGATTCCCCTCCCGACCATCGCCACAGCAGCCAGCGTAAATACATGCGCCTTACATCATGCCCAGATTGTCAGCAGACTCTAGCTGTTTTGGACCAGTGGGGAAGCCCATGCCACAGCCAAGGGCCACTCACAGGGAGTGCTGTACTGCCTTCCTCCTCATCCCAGCTTGAGTGCCTCTGTTTAGTATAACACTGGTAGGATGGCTACTGCAACTTTGAAATCTATGGGGTTACTCTGGATTTTATACCAATACAAGCGAGAATAGGAGCTGCCCCAAAGCTGCCTAGGGCAATGAATTTTAAAAGAGAACATTGATCAAGGCAATAAAGTTCTGAGCTGTTAAAGCCTCCAAAGAAGAATAGAGGCAATTCCTATCCTGTAGGCTGGCATTCTAGTCGTTTTCCTTCTAACAGATGGTGATTTACAGTTACTTGCAACTGTAAATTAATACAGTGAAACCTCCATGTAGCAAAGTCAGTTCTTTTGCTACACAACAATTTGGGTCTAAGCAAAGATTTGCTCTCACTGGAATTGCAATCTCCACGCTGCTCTAGAGTTGCAATCTGTACACTGCGACGCACTGAAACAATGAAAGAGTTTCTTTTTGCTTCTCTAGGAACATGATTTCGCTATCAGAAGGCTTCACTCTAAAGACAAGTTTCTGGGAACCCAATTCTGCTATAGATTTAAATTGTTCTGTTTTTCTGAGGGTGCTTTGTGAGTGAGGGATCTTTTTAGAAGGGAAATGGGGTGTCAGCCTTTGGCAAAAGTAAATGAGACCTCTCTGTATAGTGGAACAACCACAGTATAGTAGGTCACTGCGGTATGATTTCGCAGTTTTTGGCAATCTGCTTAGTGTGCTGTAGAGAAGGGCCTGAGCTGTAGAATTCATATTTCCTTCTAGATCTGAATGTGCCCAAAGCTGGGGAGTGCTTGAGCCAGGGGTCATGGAATACAGAGACTGGTTCTGATGGTCAGATCTGCATTTCAGAAGTTCCTGGGGAATGTTAGGAGCTTGGGTACCCAGGCTGCTCCCTGCGGTACCCAGAGTAAGGTTAGCCCTGAAAGCAAAGTGAGATGCTCTTCATAGATTTGAACTTGAAAGCTGGAAAACCTTTTCATACCCCAACAAGCAGCATTGAGAGCGAGCAAGTTGAGTGCTGGGCTTGACGATACCGTGTTAGCTTGTTGTTAACTTGTGCTTAGCTTGTGGCTAAACAAAAAAGTAAAAGCAGCAGTGAGAGGCAAAAAGGCATCCTTTAAAAAGTGGATAAATGCAAAGTAATGCACATTGGAAAACATAATCCCAACTATACATATAAAATGATGGGGTCTAAATTCGCTATTGCCACTCAAGAAAGAGATTTTGGAGTCATTGTGGATAGTTCTCTGAAAACATCCAGTCAATGTGCAGTGGCAGTCAAAAAAGCAAACAGAATGTTGGGACTCATTAAGAAAGGGATAGATAATAAGACAGAAAATGTCATATTGTCTCTATATAAATCCATGGTATGCCCACATCTTGAATACTGCATGAAGATGTAGTCACCCCATCTCAAAAAAGATATATTGGAATTGGCAAAGGTTCAGAAAAGGACAACAAAAATGATTAGGGGTATGGAACGGCTGCCGTATGAGGAGAGATTAATAAGACTGGGACTTTTCAGCTTGGAAAAGAGACGATTAAGGGGGGATATGATTGAGGTCTATAAAATCATGACTGGTGTGGAGAAAGTAAATAAGGAAGTGTTATTTACTCCTTCTCATAACACAAGAACTAGGGGTCACCAAATGAAATTAATAGGCAGTAGATTTAAAACAAACAAAAGGAAGTATTTTTTCACACAACGCAGTCAACCTGTGGAACTCCTTGCCAGAGGGTGTTGTGAAGGCCAAGACTGTAACAGGGTTCAAAAAAGAACTAGATAAGTTCATGGAGGATAGGTCCATCAATGGCTCTTAGCCAGGATGGATAGGGATGGTATCCCTAGCCTCGGTTTGCTAGAAGCTGGGAATGCGCAACAGGGGATGGATCACTTGATGCTTACCTGTTCTGTTCATTCCCTCTGGTGCACCTGGCATTGGCCACTGTCAGAAGACAGGATTCTGGGCTAGATGGACCTTTGGTCTGACCTAGTATGGCCGCCTTATGTTGTTCTCATTGAATTCAAACCTGTTAACCCAAGTCTAATGACCAACTTCATTCTTTCATTTTTTTTTCTTTTCTCCTTCATTTGGTGCTGATTCCTCCTCCTTCCCTTGAATTTGATTGGACAGGCCCTTTCCCCTCCCCGTCCTCCTCTTCCAAAAGAGGAGAGCTTTGCATGGCACCCTCGCTCTGACATGAAAGTAACCAACCTGTTGCCAGTGCCCATAATGGACTGTGTGTACCTGAATGCACCCAAACCTTATACACAGCGTGTGTCACTGAGCTGCAGCAGTCAGTGTTACTCCTCATCACCTGCACCCTTTGTGACAGTACCCAGTGGGAAGCCATGCTTTTCCGCAGGGCGTCCCCAATCAGCCAACTTGATTCCCAAGGATGTGGTGCATGCTGGGCAATCACTTTTGGGAAGTAGTTCCTTGTTATCAGACACTTCATCCAAACATCAAAACCCTGCCAGGGCAGATCCTAGTAGTGAAGCTGGAATGAATTCCACGTATAGGACTAAAGCGGATAAAAAGGTCAGCAGTCTATATGTGGCTTGTTTATCTAACAGCACTTGCTCAGCTGCATCTGAAAATTCCACCAGCATTGCACATGACCAAACAGAGAGCCCCTGTTTGGGAACTGAGGTCACTCAAGCACCAGCCACCAACATTGTTTCCTCTGTAACAGATACTGGAAAATCTCTTCCTCCCCCTCCTCCTGTCCCTCCCAGGCCATACTTTAACATTGTTCTCAGTAAAGACGCAGTTAGCTATGGTACAAGCCATTCCTCCAGGACTCAGTCTCCACCTCCTCAGGCTGTGAGGGACAAAGTGCTAGAGCCCCAGAGTACGGCTGGCAGTGGGGACAGGATGAGAAAGGAACCTTACCTTACTCAGCAGCAGCATCCGTACAAGGTGAAGGGACGCAGCATGGTACATGTTTTCTTCATAACCTTGTTTTCTTTCAGCCGTGCGAACGGTTCTCTAATTCATACAGTGTCCCCTAATGCTGTATGCACCTCTTCCTAATTTCTGCACGCAGGTCGCTCTTGTGTAGCTTGATTCTTGTCAACTGCTATTCGATAACCTCTCACTTTCCCCCC